ACACACACACTCACCTGTAGACACACTCACCTGTAGACATACACACACACTCACCTGTAGACACACACACTCACCTGTAGACACACACACACACTCACCTGTAGACACACACACACTCACCTGTAGACACACACACACACACTCACCTGTAGACACACACACTCACCTGTAAACGCACACACACTCACCTGTAGACACACACACTCACGTGTAGACACACACACTCACTCACCTGTAGACACACACTCACCTGTAGACGCACACACACACACACCTGTAGACTCACACACTCACTCACCTGTAGACACACACACACTCACCTGTAGACACACACACTCACCTGTAGACTCACACACACACACCTGTAGACACACACTCACTCACCTGTAGACACACACACACCTGTAGACACACACACTCACCTGTAAACACACACACACACACCTGTAGACACACACACACACTCACCTGTAGACACACACACACACACTCACCTGTAGACACACACACTCACCTGTAGACACACACACTCACACACTCACCTGTAGACACACACACTCACTCACCTGTAGACACACACACATTCACCTGTAGACTCACACACTCACCTGTAGACACACACACACACTCACCTGTAGACACACACACACTCACCTGTAGACACTCACAATCACCTGTAGACACACACACTCACTCACCTGTAGACACACACACACTCACCTGTAGACATACACACACACACACCTGTAGACTCACACACACACACCTGTAGACACACACACACTCACCTGTAGACACACACTCACTCACCTGTAGACACACACACACTCACACCTGTAGACACACACACTCACCTGTAGGCACACACACACACACTCACCTGTAGACACACACTCACCTGTAGACACACACACTCACCTGTAGACACACACACACACTCACCTGTAGACACACACACACTCACCTGTAGACTCACAAACTCACTCACCTGTAGACACACACACACACTCACCTGTAGACACACACACTCACCTGTAGACACACACACACACTCACCTGTAGACACACACACACACACACCTGTAGACACACACACACACTCACCTGTAGACACACACACTCACCTGTAGACACACACACACACACCTGTAGACACACACACACTCACCTGTAGACACACACACTCACTCACCTGTAGACACACACACTCACCTGTAGACACACTCACTCACCTGTAGACATACATACTCACTCACCTGTAAACACACACACTCACCTGTAGACACACACACACACTCACGTGTAGACACACACACACTCACCTGTAGACACACACACTCACCTGTAGACACACACACTCACCTGTAGACATACATACTCACTCACCTGTAAACACACACACTCACCTGTAGACACACTCACTCACCTGTAGACACACACACACACTCACGTGTAGACACACACACACACTCACCTGTAGACACACACACACACTCACCTGTAGACACACACTCACTCACCTGTAGACACACACACAGTCACCTGTAAACACACACACACTCACCTGTAGACACACACACACACACCTGTAGACACACACACACTCACCTGTAGACACACACACACACTCACCTGTAGACACACACACACACCTGTAGACACACACACACTCACCTGTAGACACACTCACTCACCTGTAGACACACACACACACCTGTAGACACACACACTCACCTGTAGACACACACACTCACCTGTAGACACACACACACACTCTCACGTGTAGACACACACACACACTCACCTGTAGACACACACACACACTTACCTGTAGACACACACACTCACCTGTAGACACACACACACACTCACCTGTAGACACACACACACACTCACCTGTAGACACACACACACACTCACCTGTAGACACACACACACACTCACCTGTAGACACACACACACACTCACCTGTAGACACACAACAACAACCGCCATTCGCAACTAAGTGACGGTGACGTCACCACGACGCTTGTGCCAAGCTGTCTGGCAAAACAACTCCCTACCTCCTCGCGGTGCCGGACGGGCAACTCTGTCGTGGACAGTGCTGTGGGGGGAGATCCAATTTTGATTGGCTCCTCCCCTCATGGCGTCTGTGTCCACCACAGGGGCTAAACGGGGGCTCTGGACGGGTGCGAGGGGCTGGTAACCCCTCCACCTTCAATTAATTACCACGAAACCACGAGTTAAACTGAAATATGTAAAGACACAGACACACACACCTGTACACACACACACACACACCTGTACACACACACACACACACCTGTACACACACACACACCTGTACACACACACTCACCTGTAGACACACACACACACACCTGTACACACACACACACACTTGCACACACACACACACACCTGTACACACACACACACTGGTGGCCACGGGAGGTAATGACAGGGGGAGTCAGCTGTGAGTGTGAAGGGACTGGTGGCCACGGGGGGTAATGACAGGGGGAGTCAGCTGTTAGTGTGAAGGGACTGGTGGCCATGGGAGGTAGTGACAGGGGGAGTCAGCTGTGAGTGTGAAGGGACTGGTGGTCACGGGAGGTAGAGACAGGGGGAGTCAGCTGTGAGTGGGAAGGGACTGGTGGCTACAGGGGGAGGTAATGACAGAGGGAGTCAGCTGTGAGTGTGAAGCGACTGGTGGCTACAGGAGGTAATGACAGGGGGAGTCAGCTGTGAGTGAAGGGAATGGTGGCCACGGGGGGGGGGGGGGGGACGGTAGTGACAGGGCGAGTCAGCTGTGAGTGTGAAGGGACTGGTGACCACGGGAGGTAATGACAGGGGGAGTCAGCTGTGAGTATGAGTGGACTGGTGGCCATGGGAGGTAATGACAGGGGGAGTCAGCTGTGAGTGTGAAGGGACTGGTGGCCACGGGGGGTAATGACAGGGGGAGTCAGCTGTGAGTGTGAGTGGACTAGTGGCCACGGGAGGTAGTGACAGGGGGAGTCAGCTGTGAGTGTGAAGGGACCGGTGGCCACGGGGGGGGGTAATGACAGGGGAGTCAGCTGTGAGTGTGAAGGGACTGGTGGCAACGGGGGGGGGGGGGGGGGGAGGTAGTGACAGGGGGAGTCAGCTGTGAGTGTGAAGGGACTGGTGACCACGGGAGGTAATGACAGGGGGAGTCAGCTGTGAGTGTGAAGGGACTGGTGGCCATGGGAGGTAGTGACAGGGGGAGTCAGCTGTGAGTGTGAAGGGACTGGTGGCCTCGGTCGGTAATGACAGGGGGAGTCAGCTGTGAGTGTGAAGGGACTGGTGACCATGGGAGGTAATGACAGAGGGAGTCAGCTGTGAGTGTGAAGCGACTGGTGGCTACAGGAGGTAATGACAGGGGGAGTCAGCTGTGAGTGAAGGGAATGGTGGCCACGGGGGGGGGGGGGGGGACGGTAGTGACAGGGCGAGTCAGCTGTGAGTGTGAAGGGACTGGTGACCACGGGAGGTAATGACAGGGGGAGTCAGCTGTGAGTATGAGTGGACTGGTGGCCATGGGAGGTAGTGACAGGGGGAGTCAGCTGTGAGTGTGAAGGGACTGGTGGCCACGGGGGGTAATGACAGGGGGAGTCAGCTGTGAGTGTGAGTGGACTAGTGGCCACGGGAGGTAGTGACAGGGGGAGTCAGCTGTGAGTGTGAAGGGACCGGTGGCCACGGGGGGGGGTAATGACAGGGGAGTCAGCTGTGAGTGTGAAGGGACTGGTGGCAACGGGGGGGGGGGGGGGAGGCAGTGACAGGGGGAGTCAGCTGTGAGTGTGAAGGGACTGGTGACCACGGGAGGTAATGACAGGGGGAGTCAGCTGTGAGTGTGAAGGGACTGGTGGCCATGGGAGGTAGTGACAGGGGGAGTCAGCTGTGAGTGTGAAGGGACTGGTGGCCTCGGTCGGTAATGACAGGGGGAGTCAGCTGTGAGTGTGAAGGGACTGGTGGCCACGGGAGGTAATGACAGGGGGAGTCAGCTGTGAGTGTGAAGGGACTGGTGGCCAAGGGAGGTAATGACAGGGGGAGTCAGCTGTGAGTGTGAAGGGACTGGTGACCACGGTAGGTAATGACAGGGGAGTCAGCTGTGAGTGTGAAGGGACTGGTGGCCACGGGAGGTAATGACAGGGGGAGTCAGCTGTGAGTGTGAAGGGACTGGTGGCCACGGGAACTTCCGACAGGGGGAGTCAGCTGTGAGTGTGAAGGGACTGGTGGCCACGGGGGGTAATGACAGGGGGAGTCAGCTGTGAGTGTGAAGGGACTGGCGGCCATGGGAGGTAATGACAGGGGGAGTCAGCTGTGAGTGTGAAGGGACTGGTGACCAAGGGAGGTAGTGACAGGGGGAGTCAGCTGTGAGTGTGAAGGGACTGGTGGCCACGGGGGGTAATGACAGGGGGAGTCAGCTGTGAGTGTGAAGGGACTGGTGGCCACGGGAGGTAATGACAGGGGGAGTCAGCTGTGAGTGTGAAGGGACTGGTGACCACGGTAGGTAATGATAGGGGGAGTCAGCTGTTAGTGTGAAGGGACTGGTGGCCACGGGGGGTAATGACAGGGGGAGTCAGCTGTGAGTGTGAAGGGACTGGTGGCCACGGGGGGTAATGACAGGGGGAGTCAGCTGTGAGTGTGAAGGGACTGGTGGCCACGGGGGGTAATGACAGGGGGAGTCAGCTGTGAGTGTGAAGGGACTGGTGGCCACGGGAACTTCCGACAGGGGGAGTCAGCTGTGAGTGTGAAGGGACTGGTGGCCACGGGGTGGGGCGGTAATGACAGCGTTTTACTGAAAACTTTCGTGACTGCGGCAAATTCATTTTCTCGGTTCGTACGGTAAAGCCACGTGGGTAGGTTTCGGTAGACAGTACCACGGACCACGACGTTTCGATCGCTTGCGTTGCGACAAGCCCCCAAAAATCAAGATTATTGATCTCAAACAAGGCTGCCACCGGTGCCTGCCGTGGCCCACCCACCGTCTTGGCACTCGGAGTCCTCCAGGCAGAAGCTTGCCTTGTGTCCTTCGGCCACGCGGCTGCCGTTCATCGCCAGCAGATCGTAGTGGGTGAACACGTTCATGCTGTGGTAGTGCCTGTTGTGGTGGTGGTACAAGGTGACAGGTTGTGAGTGAACACGTTCATGCCTGTGGTAGTGCCTGTGGTGGTGGTGGTGGTGACAGGTTGTGAGTGAACACGTTCATGCTGTGGTAGTGCCTGTGGTGGTGGTGGTGGTGGTACAGGGTGACAGGTGGTGGGTGAACACGTTCATGCTGTGGTAGTGCCTGTGGTGGTGGTGGTACAGGGTGACAGGTGGTGGGTGAACACGTTCATGCCTGTGGTAGTGCCTGTGGTGGCGGTGGTACAGGGTGACAGGTTGTGAGTGAACACGTTCATGCTGTGGTAGTGCCTGTGGTGGTGGTGGTGGTACAGGGTGACAGGTGGTGGGTGAAAACATTCATGTTGTGGTAGTGCCTGTGGTGGTGGTGGTGGTACAGGGTGACAGGTGGTGGGTGAACACGTTCATGCCTGTGGTAGTGCCTGTGGTGGTGGTGATGGTGGTACAGGGTGACAGGTGGTGGGTGAACACGTTCATGCTGTGGTAGTGCCTGTGGTGGTGGTGGCGGTGGTGGTACAGGGGGACAGGTGGTGGGTGAACACGTTCATGCCTGTTGTAGTGCCTGTGGTGGTACAGGGTGACAGGTGGTGGGTGAACACGTTCATGCCTGTTGTAGTGCCTGTGGTGGTGGTGGTACAGGGTGACAGGTGGTGGGTGAACACGTTCATGCTGTGGTAGTGCCTGTGGCGGTGGTGGTGGTATAGGGTGACAGGTTGTGGGTGAACACGTTCATGCTGTGGTAGTGCCTGTGGTGGTGGTGGTGGTACAGGGGGACAGGTTGTGGGTGAACACGTTCATGCTGTGGTAGTGCCTGTGGTGGTGGTGGTGGTACAGGGGGACAGGTTGTGGGTGAACACGTTCATGCTGTGGTAGTGCCTGTGGTGGTGGTGGCGGTGGTGGTACAGGGGGACAGGTGGTGGGTGAACACGTTCATGCTGTGGTAGTGGTGGTGGTACAGGGTGACAGGTTGTGGGTGAACACGTTCATGCTGTGGTAGTGCCTGTGGTGGTGGTGGCGGTGGTGGTACAGGGGGACAGGTGGTGGGTGAACACGTTCATGCTGTGGTAGTGGTGGTGGTACAGGGTGACAGGTTGTGGGTGAACACGTTCATGCTGTGGTAGTGCCTGTGGTGGTGGTGGTACAGGGTGACAGGTGGTGGGTGAACACGTTCATGCTGTGGTAGTGCCTGTGGTGGTGGTGGCGGTGGTGGTACAGGGTGACAGGTTGTGGGTGAACACGTTCATGCTGTGGTAGTGGTGGTGGTGGTACAGGGTGACAGGTTGTGAGTGAACACGTTCATGCTGTGGTAGTGCCTGTGGTGGTGGTGGTGGTACAGGGTGACAGGTGGTGGGTGAACACGTTCATGCTGTGGTAGTGCCTGTGGTGGTGGTGGTACAGGGTGACAGGTTGTGAGTGAACACGTTCATGCTGTGGTGGTGGTGGTGGTGACAGGTGGTGAGTGAACACGTTCATGCTGTGGTAGTGCCTGTGGTGGTGGTACAGGGTGACAGGTTGTGAGTGAACACGTTCATGTTGTGGTAGTGGTGGTGACAGGTGATGGGTGAACACGTTCATGCTGTGGTAGTGCCTGTGGTGGTGATGGTGGTGGTGGTACAGGGTGACAGGTGGTGGGTGAACACGTTCATGCTGTGGTGGTGCCTGTGGTGGTGGTGACAGGTTGTGAGTGAACACGTTCATGCTGTGGTAGTGGTGGTGGTAGTGGTGGTACAGGGTGACAGGTGGTGGGTGAACACGTTCATGCTGTGGTAGTGGTGGTGGTGGTGACAGGTGGTGGGTGAACACGTTCATGCTGTGGTAGTGGTGGTGGTGGTGACAGGTTGTGAGTGAACACGTTCATGCTGTGGTAGTGGTGGTGGTGGTGACAGGTTCTGGGTGAACACGTTCATGCTGTGGTAGTGCCTGTGGTGGTGGTGGTGGTGGTACAGGGTGACAGGTTCTGGGTGAACACGTTCATGCTGTGGTAGTGCCTGTGGTGGTGGTGGTGGTACAGGGTGACAGGTGGCGGGTGAACACGTTCATGTTGTGGTAGTGCCTGTGGTGGTGGTACAGGGTGACAGGTGGTGGGTGAACACGTTCATGCTGTGGTAGTGGTGGTGACAGGTTGTGAGTGAACACGTTCATGCTGTGGTAGTGGTGGTGGTGGTGACAGGTTGTGAGTGAACACGTTCATGTTGTGGTAGTGGTGGTGGTGGTGACAGGTTGTGAGTGAACACGTTCATGCTGTGGTGGTGGTGGTGGTATAGGGTGACAGGTGGTGGGTGAACACGTTCATGCTGTGGTGGTGGTGGTACAGGGTGACAGGTTGTGAGTGAACACGTTGATGCTGTGGTAGTGGTGGTGGTGGTGACAGGTTGTGAGTGAACACGTTCATGCTGTGGTGGTGGTGTGGTGGTGGTACAGGGTGACAGGTTGTGAGTGAACACGTTGATGCTGTGGTAGTGGTGGTGGTGGTGACAGGTTGTGAGTGAACACGTTCATGCTGTGGTAGTGCCTGTGGTGACAGGTTGTGAGTGAACACGTTCATGCTGTGGTGGTGGTGGTGTGGTGGTGGTACAGGGTGACAGGTTGTGAGTGAACACGTTCATGCTGTGGTAGTACCTGTGGTGGTGACAGGTTGTGAGTGAACACGTTCATGCTGTGGTAGTGGTGGTGTGGTGGTGGTACAGGGTGACAGGTTGTGAGTGAACACGTTCATGCTGTGGTAGTACCTGTGGTGGTGACAGGTTGTGAGTGAACACGTTCATGCTGTGGTGGTGGTGTGGTGGTGGTACAGGGTGACAGGGTGAGTGAACACGTTCATGCTGTGGTAGTACCTGTGGTGGTGACAGGTTGTGAGTGAACACGTTCATGCTGTGGTAGTGGTGGTGGTGACAGGTTGTGAGTGAACACGTTCATGTTGTGGTAGTGGTGGTGGTGGTGACAGGTTGTGAGTGAACACGTTCATGCTGTGGTAGTGGTGGTGGTGGTGGTGACAGGTTGTGAGTGAACACGTTCATGCTGTGGTAGTGCCTGTGGTGGTGGTGACAGGTTGTGAGTGAACACGTTCATGCTGTGGTAGTGCCTGTGGTGGTGGTACAGGGTGACAGGTTGTGAGTGAACACGTTCATGTTGTGGTAGTGGTGGTGGTGGTGACAGGTTGTGAGTGAACACGTTCATGTTGTGGTAGTGGTGGTGGTGGTGACAGGTTGTGAGTGAACACGTTCAAGTAGTGTATAGTGTAGTGTCTATATAATATATTGTGTATATAATATTTCGTATATTTGTATATAGTAGATGTAGAGTGTATATAACATGTAGTATATAATGTATAGTATAGAAATATGTAGTATACAATGTATAGTATATACAAAATGTAGTATATAATGTATAGTATATGCAATATGTAGTATATAATGTATAGTATATACACTACCTAGTATACAATGTATAGTATATACACTACGTAGTATACAATGTATAGTATATACACTACGTAGTATACAATGTATAGTATATACACTACCTAGTATACAATGTATAGTATATACACTACCTAGTATACAATGTATAGTATATACACTACGTAGTATACAATGTATAGTATATACACTACCTAGGATACAATGTATAGTAATATACCCCACGTAGTATATAATGTATAGTATCTACAATACGTAGTATATAATGTATAGTAATACACACTACCTAGTATATAATGTAGAGAAATACACACCACGTAGTATACAATGTATAGTATATACACTACCTAGTATATAATGTATAGCATATACACTACGTAGTATACAATGTATAGTATATACACTACGTAGTATACAATGTATAGTATCTACAATACGTAGTATATAATGTATAGTATATACAATACGTAGTATACAATGTATAGTATATACACTACGTAGTATACAATGTATAGTATATACACTACGTAGTATACAATGTATAGTATATACACTACGTAGTATATAATGTATAGTATCTACACTACGTAGTATACAATGTATAGTATCTACACTACCTAGTATACAATGTATAGTATCTACACTACCTAGTATACAATGTATAGTATATACACTACGTAGTATACAATGTAGAGTAATATACACTACGTAGTATACAATGTATAGTATCTACACTACGTAGTATACAATGTATAGTATATACACTACCTAGTATACAATGTATAGCAGGGGTCGGGAACCTATGGCTCGCGAGCCAGATGTGGCTCTTTTGATGATTGCATATGGCTCTCAGATAAAACAAAATATTCTCACTTGTTTTAATCCATCCATCGATTTTTCACTGCACATGTCCTGTTCAGGGCTGCAGGAGCAATTGTCCATTATTTTAATTGGATGATACTGGCCTACGTTTGCCGTTGCTGGGTAAAACAGGTAAACGCCCCCTTTTGAATCAGTCTGAGACTGCGTCTGCTCGGTCATTAGCTCAAAGCTAACCCTTCGACGAAGAAGATGGCGAAAAGAAAAAAAGACGACGAGTATCGTACATTTCAGGACGAATGGACCGAAGAATTCGCCTTTGTGGAGAGAGCGGGTTCTGCGGTGTGTCTAATTTGCAATGACAAAATTACATCGTTGAAACGGTCGAATGTAAAGCGGCACTTCGACACGCGCCACGCTACCTTTGCATCAAAATACCCTGCGGGAGACAGCAGAAAGAAAGCGTGCCAAGAGCTTCTGAGCAGGGTGCAAGCTAGCCAGCAGCAACTCCGCGTATGGACCCGGCAAGGTGACTATAATTCGGCTAGCTTTGCTGGTTCTTTAGCAATAGTGAGGAACGGAAAACCATTCACAGATGGCTAGTATGCTAAAACGTTCATGCTGGATGTAGCCAATGAACTTTTTGATGATCTTCCGAACAAAGACAAGATAATCAAACGGATACAAGACATGCCTCTGTCGGCAAGAACTGTTCATGATCGTACCATCGTGATGGCAAACAAAGTGGAGGAAACGCAAGTGAAGGACATAAATGCAGCGCCGTTCTTTTCTCTGGCTTTGGATGAGTCAACAGACGTGAGCCATTTGTCGCAGTTCAGCGTGATTGCAAGATATGCTGTTGGTGACACACTGCGCGAAGAAAGTCTTGCTGTTCTGCCATTAAAAGGGTCCACAAGAGGTGAGGATTTATTCAAGTCTTTCATGGAGTTTGCTCAAGAAAAAAGTCTACCTATGGATAAACTTCTCTCAGTGTGTACTGATGGTGCTCCGTGTATGGTGGGGAAAAACAAAGGATTTGTGGCGCTTCTCCGTGAACATGAAAATAGACCCATCCTAAGTTTCCATTGCATTATACACCAGGAGGCACTTTGTGCTCAGATGTGTGACAGGCAGTTTGGCGAAGTGATGTCGCTGGTCATTCGTGTTATCAACTTTATTGTTGCCCGAGCCTTAAATGATCGCCAGTTTAAAACACTGCTGGATGAAGTTGTAAATAACTATCCTGGTCTGCTTTTGCACAGCAATGTGCGTTGGTTGTCAAGAGGGAAGGTGCTTAGCCGTTTTGCGGCTTGCCTGAACGAAATCCGGACTTTCCTTGAAATGAAAGGCGTCGGGCATCCTGAGCTAGCCGACACCGAGTGGCTCCTCAAGTTTTACTATCTCGTAGATCTGACTGAACATCTGAACCAGCTCAACGTGAAAATGCAAGGCATTGGAAATACAGTGTTATCCCTTCAACAAGCTGTATTTGCTTTTGAAAACAAGCTGGAGCTTTTCATCACGGATCTTGAAACAGGTCGTTTACTACATTTTCAAAAACTGAGCCAATTTAAAGATGCATGCACAGCAAGTGAGCCCATTCAAAACCTTGATCTCCACCAGCTAGCTGGCTGCACATCCAGTCTCCTACAGTCCTTCAAAACACGCTTTGGAGAATTTCGTGAGCACACTCGTCTTTTTAAGTTCATCACCCATCCAAACGAGTGTTCACTGAACACAGCCGACCTGAATTACATCCCTGGTGTCTCCGTCAGAGATTTTGAAGCAGAAGTGGCTGACCTGAAGGCCTCAGACATGTGGGTGAATAAGTTCAAGTCACTGAATGAAGATTTGGAAAGAATCACACGACAGAAAGCGGAGTTGGCGAGCAAGCACATGTGGACAGAAATGAAAAAACTCCAACCCGAAGACCAGCTGATTCTCAAAACTTGGAACGCGCTTCCTGTCACATACCACACACTGCAGCGTGTGAGTATTGCTGTATTGACCATGTTTGGATCTACGTATGCATGTGAGCAGTCATTCTCACATCTTAAAAACATCAAGTCCAACCTACGATCACGTTTAACGGATGAAAGCCTCAACGCTTGCATGAAGCTTAACCTCACCAAGTACCAACCCGACTACAAAGACATCAGCAAATCCATGCAGCACCAGAAGTCGCATTAATGGTGAATGTTTTAACAACATTATTTAAAAGAATAAATTCAGAGGCTTATTATACTGACATTTAGTTGAATTCACTTTTAAAATATATTATATGGCTCTCACTGAAATAAATTTCCAAATTTTTTGCTTTCATGGCTCTCTTAGTCAAAAAGGTTCCCGACCCCTGGTATATACACTACGTAGTATATAATGTATAGTATCTACACTACCTAGTATGCAATGTATAGTATCTACACTACCTAGTATACAATGTATAATATATATGCTATGTAGTATACAATGTATAGTAATGTACAATACGTAGTATACAATGTATAGTAATGTACACTACGTAGTATACAATGTATAGTAGTAAACCCCACGTAGTATACAACGTATAATATATATGCTATGTAGTATACAATGTACAGTATATACACCCCACGTAGTATACAATGTATAGTAATACACACCACGTAGTATACAATGTATAATATATATGCTATGTAGTATACAATGTACAGTATATACACCCCACGTAGTATACAATGTATAGTATATACACTACGTAGTATACAATGTATAGTAATACACCCCACGTAGTATATAATGTAGAGTAATATACACTATCTAGTATACAATGTATAGTATCTACACTACCTAGTATACAATGTATAGTAATACACCCCACGTAGTATACAATGTATAGTATATACACTACGTAGTATACAATGTATAGTAATACACCCCACGTAGTATATAATGTAGAGTAATATACACTATCTAGTATACAATGTATAGTATCTACACTACCTAGTATACAATGTATAGTAATACACCCCACGTAGTATACAATGTATAGTATATACACTACGTAGTATACAATGTATAGTAATACACCCCACGTAGTATATAATGTAGAGTAATATACACTATCTAGTATACAATGTATAGTATCTACACTACCTAGTATACAATGTATAGTAATACACCCCACGTAGTATACAATGTATAGTATCTACACCCCACGTAGTATACAATGTATAGTATCTACACTACCTAGTATACAATGTATAGTAATGTACACTACGTAGTATACAATGTATAGTATATACACCCCACGTAGTATACAATGTATAGTATCTACACCCCACGTAGTATACAATGTATAGTATCTACACTACCTAGTATACAATGTATAGTAATGTACACCACGTAGTATACAATGTATAGTATCTACACCCCACGTAGTATACAATGTATAGTAGTACACCCCACGTAGTATACAATGTATAGTATCTACACCCCACGTAGTATACAATGTATAGTAATACACCCCACGTAGTATACAATGTATAGTAGTACACCCCACGTAGTATACAATGTATAGTATCTACACCCCACGTAGTATACAATGTATAGTGTCTACACCCCATGTAGTATACAATGTATAGTAATACACCCCACGTAGTATACAATGTATAGTAATACACCCCACGTAGTATACAATGTATAGTATCTACACCCCACGTAGTATACAATGTATAGTGTCTACACCCCATGTAGTATACAATGTATAGTAATACACCCCACGTAGTATACAATGTATAATATATATGCTATGTAGTATACAATGTATAGTAATGTACAATACGTAGTATACAATGTACAGTAATAAACCCCACGTAGTATACAATGTATAGTAATACACACCACGTAGTATACAATGTATAATATATATGCTATGTAGTATACAATGTATAGTAATTTACACTACGTAGTATACAATGTATAGTAATGTACAATACGTAGTATACAATGTACTGCAGTACACCCCACGTAGTATACAATGTATAGTGTCTACACCCCACGTAGTATACAATGTATAGTAATAAACCCCACGTAGTATACAATGTATAGTAATAAACACCACGTAGTATACAATGTATAGTAATGTACACTATGTAGTATACAATGTATAATATATATGCTATGTAGTATACAATGTATAGTAGTACACGCCACGTAGTATACAATGTATAGTAATAAACCCCACGTAGTAGACAATGTATAGTATATATGCTATGTAGTATACAATGTATAGTAGTACACCCCACGTAGTATACAATGTATAGTAATAAACCCCACGTAGTATACAATGTACTGCAGTACACGCCACGCAGGGTGAAGGCAGCGCACTCACTGATGGCAGGCGTGCCAGAGCCAGTCGTGGCGGCTGGCCCGCGGCCTGAAGTCAGCCCGCCCCAGGTTGAGGATCTGCGAGGTGAACCTGAGCAGGCTGCGGAAGCCGTAGGGCCACGTGGCCCCGCCCACCTCGGCCGCCAGACAGCCTTCCTCGGCGGCGCACTGCAGCATGTGGAGCGGCCGAGTCTCGGCGTAGGCCGTGGAGGACGCAAGGGTCCAGTTGAGCACCAGGTCGGGGGCCGCTGGTGGGAGCGTGGGGTTGGGGGGGTTTGTTGGGTGGGGTGGTTTGTTGGGTTGGGTGGGGATGGGGTGGTTTGTTGGGTGGGGTGGTTTTGTTGAGGGGAGGGTTTGTTGGGGGAGGGTTTTGTTGGGGGGTTTTGGGGGGTTTGGGGTTTTGGGGGTTTGGGGGTTTGGGGGGGTTTGGGGTTTTGGGTGTTTGGGGGTTTTGGGGTTTGGGGTTTTGGGGGTTTTGGGGTTTTGGGGGTTTTGGGGTTTTGGGGGGTTTTTGGGGTTTTGTGGTTTGGGGTTTTGGGGGGTTTTGGGGGTTTTGGGGGTTATGGGGTTTTGGGGGTTGGGGGGGTTTTGGGATTTGTGGGTTTTGGGGGTTTTGGGGGTTTTGGGGTTTGGGGGGTTTTGGGGGTTTTGGGGTTTTGGGGTTTTGGGGTTTTTGGGGTTTTGGGGGTTTTGGGGTTTTGGGGGTGTTGGGGTTTTGGGGGGTTTTTGGGGTTTTGGGGTTTGGGGTTTTGGGGTTTTTTGGGGTTTTGGGGGTTGTGGGGTTTTGGGGGTTGGGGGGTTTTGGGATTTGTGGGTTTTGGGGGTTTTGGGGGTTTTGGGGTTTGGGGGGTTTTGGGGGTTTTGGGATTTTGGGGTTTTGGGGTTTTTGGGGTTTTGGGGGTTTTGGGGTTTTGGGGGGTTTTGGGGTTTTGGGGTTTTGGGGGTTTTGGGGTTTTGGGGGTTTTTTGGGGTTTTGGGGTTTTGGGGGGTTTTGGGGGGTTTTGGGGTTTTGGGGGTTGGGGGGTTTTGGGATTTGTGGGTTTTGTGGGTTTTGGGGGTTTTGGGGTTTGGGGGGTTTTGGGGGTTTTGGGATTTGGGGTTTGGGGTTTTTGGGGTTTTGGGGGTTTTGGGGTTTTGGGGGTTGGGGGGTTTTGGGATTTGTGGGTTTTGGGGGTTTTGGGGGTTTTGGGGTTTTTGGGGTTTTGGGGGTTTTGGGATTTTGGGGTTTTGGGATTTTTGGGATTTAGGGATTTGGGGGGGGGGGGGAGAGGGTTGGAGCGGTGGAGATACAGGGAGGGTGGACACGTGAGATGGATGGGGAGGAGAGCAGTGGAGAGACACTGGGAGAGACGGAGAGACAGGGAGACACGGGGAGAGACACGGGGAGAGACACAGGGAGACACAGGGAGAGACAGGGAGACAGGGAGAGACACAGGGAGACACAGAGAGACACGGGGAGAGACACGGGGAGAGACACGGGGAGAGACAGAGAGACACAGGGAGACACGGGGAGAGACACGGGGAGAGACATGGAGAGACACAGGGAGAGACAGAGAGACAGGGAGACACAGGGAGACACAGAGAGACACGGGGAGAGACAGGGAGAGACACGGGGAGAGACAGAGAGACAGGGAGACACAGAGAGACACGGGGAGAGACACAGGGAGAGACACGGGGAGAGACAGAGAGACAGGGAGACACAGAGAGACACGGGGAGAGACACGGGGAGAGACACGGGGAGAGACAGAGAGACAGGGAGACACAGAGAGACACGGGGAGAGACACGGGGAGAGACACGGGGAGAGACAGAGAGACACAGGGAGACACGGGGAGAGACACGGGGAGAGACATGGAGAGACACAGGGAGAGACAGAGAGACAGGGAGACACAGGGAGACACAGAGAGACACGGGGAGAGACAGGGAGAGACACGGGGAGAGACAGAGAGACAGGGAGACACAGAGAGACACGGGGAGAGACACAGGGAGAGACACGGGGAGAGACAGAGAGACAGGGAGACACAGAGAGACACGGGGAGAGACACGGGGAGAGACACGGGGAGAGACAGAGAGACAGGGAGACACAGAGAGACACGGGGAGAGACACGGGGAGAGACACGGGGAAAGACGGAGAGACACAGGGAGAGACAGGGAGACACGGGGAGAGACACGGGGAGAGACACAGGGAGAGACAGGGAGACAGGGAGACACAGGGAGAGACACAGGGAGAGACACGGGGAGAGACACGGGGAGAGACAGGGAGACACAGGGAGACAGAGAGACACAGAGAGACACAGGGAGAGACAGGGAGAGAGACAGAGAGAGACAGAGAGACACAGGGAGAGACAGGGAGACACAGGGAGAGACAGGGAGACACAGAGAGACACAGAGAGACACGGGGAGAGACAGGGAGACACAGGGAGAGACAGGGAGACAGGGAGACACAGAGAGAGACAGGGAGACACAGAGAGAGAGACACAGGGAGAGACAGGGAGACACAGAGAGACACGGGGAGAGACACAGGGAGAGACAGAGAGAGAGAGACAGAGAGACACAGGGAGAGACAGGGAGACACAGATAGACACAGGGAGAGACACAGGGAGAGACAGAAAGACACAGGGAGACACGGGGAGAGACACAGGGAGAGACAGAGAGACACAGAGAGACACAGGGAGACACAGAGAGACACAGGGAGAGACAGGGAGACACAGAGAGACAGAGGGAGAGACACAGGGAGACAGACAGAGAGACACAGGGAGACACAGGGAGAGACAGGGAGATACAGAGAGACACAGAGAGACACAGGGAGAGACACAGGGAGAGACACAGGGAGAGACAGAGAGAGAGAGAGAGACAGAGAGACACAGAGAGACAGGGAGATACAGAGAGACACAGGGAGAGACAGAGAGAGAGAGACAGAGAGACACAGAGAGACACAGAGAGACAGGGAGAGACAGGGAGAGACAGAGAGACACAGGGAGAGACAGGGATACACAGAGAGACACAGGGAGAGACACAGGGAGAGACAGAGAGAGACAGGGAGACACAGAGAGACACAGGGAAACACACAGGGGGAGACACGGGGAGAGACAGGGAGACACAGGGAGACAGAGAGAGAGACAGAGAGACACAGGGAGAGACAGGGAGAGAGACAGAGAGAGACAGAGAGACACAGGGAGAGACAGGGAGACACAGGGAGAGACAGGGAGACACAGAGAGACACAGAGAGACACGGGGAGAGACAGGGAGACACAGGGAGAGACAGGGAGACAGGGAGACACAGAGAGAGACAGGGAGACACAGAGAGAGAGACACAGGGAGAGACAGGGAGACACAGAGAGACACGGGGAGAGACACAGGGAGAGACACGGGGAGAGACACGGGGAGAGACAGGGAGACACAGGGAGACAGAGAGACACAGAGAGACACAGGGAGAGACAGGGAGAGAGACAGGGAGAGACAGGGAGAAACACAGGGAGACAGACAAAGAGACACGGGGAGACACAGGGAGAGACACAGCCACAGGGAGACACAGAGACAAAAGGAGACACAGAGAGAGACACAGGGAGACAGACAGAGAGACACAGGGAGACACAGAGAGAGACACAGCGAGACACAGAGAGAGACACAGAGAGACACGTGGAGACACAGAGAGACAGAGAGAGACACAGGGAGACACAGGGAGAGACAGGGAGACAGACAGGGAGACACAGGGAGAGACACGGAGAGAGACAGAGAGAGAGACACAGAGACACAGGGAGACAGGGAGAGACAGGGAGACAGACAGAGAGACACGGGGAGAGACAGAGAGACACAGGGAGACACGGGGAGAGACAAAGAGACACAGGGAGACACGGGCAGAGACAGAGAGACACAGGGAGACACAGGGAGACAAAGGGAGACACAGGAAGAGACAGGTAGACACACAGGTAGACACACAGTGAGACACACAGTGAGACACGCAGGTAGATACACAGTGAGACACACAGCTAGACACACAGCTAGACACACAGGTGAGACACAGTGAGACACAGTGAGACACACAGGTAGACACACAGTGAGACACACAGTGACACACAGTGAGACACACAGCTAGACACACAGTGAGACACGCAGGTAAGACATACAGGTGAGACACAATGAGACACACAGGTAGACACACAGCTAGACACACAGGTGAGACACAGTGAGACACAGTGAGACACACAGGTAGACACACAGGTAGAACCACACAGGTGAGACACGCAGGTAGAACCACACAGGTAGAACCACACAGGTGAGACACACAGGTAGAACCACATAGGTAGAACCACACAGGTAGAACCACACAGGTGAGACACACAGGTAGAACCACATAGGTAGACACACAGGTAGAACCACACAGGTGAGACACGCAGGTAGAACCACACAGGTAGAACCACACAGGTGAGACACACAGGTAGAACCACATAGGTAGAACCACACAGGTAGAACCACGCAGGTGAGACACACAGGTAGAACCACACAGGTGAGACACACAGGTAGAACCACACAGGTAGAACCACACAGGTGAGACACACAGGTAGAACCACACAGGTGAGACACACAGGTAGATCCACGCAGGTAGAACCACACAGGTGAGACACACAGGTAGAACCACGCAGGTAGAACCACGCAGGTAGAACCACACAGGTAGAACCACACAGGTAGAACCACACAAGTGAGACACACAGGTAGAACCACACAGGTAGAACCACGCAGGTAGAACCACACAGGTAGAACCACACAGGTGAGACACACAGGTAGACACAGGTAGAACCACACAGGTAGAACCACACAGGTGAGACACACAGGTAGAACCACGCAGGTGAGACACACAGGTAGAACCACACAGGTAGAACCACACAGGTGAGACACACAGGTAGAACCACGCAGGTGAGACACACAGGTAGAACCACACAGGTAGAACCACACAGGTGAGACACACAGGTAGAACCAACACAGGTAGAACCAGCGCAGGTAGAACCACACAGGTAGACCCACCACAGGCTGAGACCACACAGGTAGACCCACAACAGTGTAGAACCACACAGGTGAGACACACAGGTGAGACATACAGGTAGAAACCACACAGGTGAGGACACACCAGGTAGAAACACACAGGTAGAAACCACCACAGGTGAGACACACAGGGTAGAACCACACCCAGGTAGAACCACACAGAGGTGAGACACACAGGTAGAACCACGCAAGGTGAGACACACAGGTAGAACCACACAGGTAGAACCACACAGAGGTGAGACACACAGGTAGAACCACACAGGTAGAACCACGCAGGTAGAACCACACAGGTAGAACCACACAGGTGAGACACACAGGTAGAACCACACAGGTAGAACCACACAGGTGAGACACACAGGTGAGACATACAGGTAGAACCACACAGGTGAGACACACAGGTAGAACCACACAGGTGAGACACACAGGTAGAACCACACAGGTAGAACCACACAGGTGAGACACACAGGTAGAACCACACAGGTGAGACACACAGGTAGAACCACGCAGGTGAGACACACAGGTAGAACCACACAGGTAGAACCACACAGGTAGAACCACACAAGTGAGACACACAGGTAGAACCACACAGGTAGAACCACGCAGGTGAGACACACAGGTGAGACACGCAGGTAGAACCACACAGGTGAGACACACAGGTAGAACCACAGGTAGAACCACACTGGTAGAACCACACAGGTGAGACACACAGGTAGAACCACACAGGTAGACACACAGCTTGACACGCAGGTAGAACCACACAGGTGAGACACACAGGTAGAACCACACAGGTGAGACACACAGGTAGACACAGGTAGAACCACACAGGTAGAACCACACAGGTGAGACACACAGGTGAGACACGCAGGTAGAACCACACAGGTGAGACACACAGCTAGACACACAGGTGAGACACACAGGTAGAACCACGCAGGTAGAACCACACAGGTAGAACCACACAGGTAGAACCACACAGGTGAGACACACAGGTAGAACCACACAGGTAGAACCACACAGGTGAGACACACAGGTAGAACCACACAGGTGAGACACACAGGTAGAACCACGCAGGTGAGACACACAGGTAGAACCACACAGGTAGAACCACACAGGTGAGACACACAGGTAGAACCACACAGGTAGAACCACGCAGGTGAGACACACAGGTGAGACACGCAGGTAGAACCACACAGGTGAGACACACAGCTAGACACACAGGTAGAACCACACTGGTAGAACCACACAGGTGAGACACACAGGTAGAACCACACAGGTAGAACCACACAGGTAGACACACAGCTTGACACGCAGGTAGAACCACACAGGTGAGACACACAGGTAGACACAGGTAGAACCACACAGGTAGAACCACACAGGTGAGACACACAGGTGAGACACGCAGGTAGAATCACACAGGTGAGACACACAGGTAGAACCACACAGGTAGAACCACACAGGTAGACACAGCTTGACACGCAGGTAGAACCACACAGGTGAGACACACAGGTAGAACCACGCAGGTAGAACCACGCAGGTGAGACACGCAGGTAGAACCACGCAGGTAGAACCACGCAGGTGAGACACACAGGTAGAACCACACAGGTAGAACCACACAGGTAGAACCACGCAGGTAGAACCACACAGGTGAGACACACAGGTAGACACAGGTAGAACCACACAGGTAGAACCACGCAGGTAGAACCACACAGGTAGAACCACACAGGTGAGACACACAGGTAGAACCACACAGGTGAGACACACAGGTAGAACCACACAGGTAGAACCACGCAGGTAGAACCACACAGGTAGAACCACACAGGTAGAACCACACAGGTGAGACACGCAGGTAGAACCACACAGGTAGACACAGGTAGAACCACACAGGTAGAACCACACAGGTAGAACCACGCAGGTAGAACCACACAGGTGAGACACGCAGGTAGAACCACACAGGTAGACACAGGTAGAACCACACAGGTAGACACAGGTAGAACCGCACAGGTGAGACACACAGGTAGAACCACACAGGTAGAACCACGCAGGTAGAACCACACAGGTAGAACCACACAGGTAGAACCACACAAGTGAGACACACAGGTAGAACCATACAGGTAGAACCACACAGGTGAGACACACAGGTAGAACCACACAGGTAGAACCACACAGGTGAGACACACAGGTAGAACCACACAGGTAGAACACACGCAGGTGAGACGCACAGGTAGAACCACACAGGTGAGACACACAGGTAGAACCACACAGGTGAGACACACAGCTAGACACACAGGTAGAACCACACAGGTAGAACCACACAGGTAGAACCACACAGGTGAGACACACAGGTAGAACCACACAGGTAGAACACACGCAGGTGAGACGCACAGGTAGAACCACACAGGTGAGACACACAGGTAGAACCACACAGGTGAGACACACAGGTAGAACCACGCAGGTGAGACACACAGGTAGAACCACACAGGTAGAACCACACAGGTGAGACACACAGGTAGAACCACACAGGTAGAACCACGACAGGTGAGACCACACAGGTGAGACACGCAGGTAGAACCACACAGGTGAGGACACACAGGCTAGACACACAGGTAGAACCACACAGGTAGAACCACACAGGTGAGACACACAGGTAGAACCACACAGGTAGAACCACACAGGTAGACACACAGCTTGACACGCAGGTAGAACCACACAGGTGAGACACACAGGTAGACACAGGTAGAACCACACTGGTAGAACCACACAGGTGAGACACACAGGTGAGACACGCAGGTAGAATCACACAGGGTGAGACACACAGGTAGAACCACACAGGTAGAACCACACAGGTAGACACAGCTTGACACGCAGGTAGAACCACACAGGTGAGACACACAGGTAGAACCACGCAGGTAGAACCACGCAGGTGAGACACGCAGGTAGAACCACGCAGGTAGAACCACGCAGGTGAGACACACAGGTAGAACCACACAGGTAGAACCACACAGGTAGAACCACGCAGGTAGAACCACACAGGTGAGACACACAGGTAGACACAGGTAGAACCACACAGGTAGAACCACGCAGGTAGAACCACACAGGTAGAACCACACAGGTGAGACACACAGGTAGAACCACACAGGTGAGACACACAGGTAGAACCACACAGGTAGAACCACGCAGGTAGAACCACACAGGTAGAACCACACAGGTAGAACCACACAGGTGAGACACGCAGGTAGAACCACACAGGTAGACACAGGTAGAACCACACAGGTAGAACCACACAGGTAGAACCACGCAGGTAGAACCACACAGGTGAGACACGCAGGTAGAACCACACAGGTAGACACAGGTAGAACCACACAGGTAGACACAGGTAGAACCGCACAGGTGAGACACACAGGTAGAACCACACAGGTAGAACCACGCAGGTAGAACCACACAGGTAGAACCACACAGGTAGAACCACACAAGTGAGACACACAGGTAGAACCATACAGGTAGAACCACACAGGTGAGACACACAGGTAGAACCACACAGGTAGAACCACACAGGTGAGACACACAGGTAGAACCACACAGGTAGAACACACGCAGGTGAGACGCACAGGTAGAACCACACAGGTGAGACACACAGGTAGAACCATACAGGTAGAACCACACAGGTGAGACACACAGGTAGAACCACACAGGTAGAACCACACAGGTAGAACCACACAGGTGAGACACACAGGTAGAACCACACAGGTAGAACACACGCAGGTGAGACGCACAGGTAGAACCACACAGGTGAGACACACAGGTAGAACCACACAGGTAGAACCACACAGGTAGCACCACACAGGTAGAACCACACAGGTAGAACCACACAGGTGAGACACACAGGTAGAACCACACAGGTAGAACACACGCAGGTAGAACCACGCAGATAGAACCACACAGGTGAGACACAGGTAGAACGACACAGATAGAACCACACAGGTGAGACACACAGGTAGAACCACACAGGTAGAACCACACAGGTGAGACACACAGGTAGAACCACACAGGTAGAACCACACAGGTGAGACACACAGGTAGAACCACACAGGTAGAACCACACAGGTGAGACACACAGGTAGAACCACACATGTAGAACCACACAGGTAGAACGACACAGATAGAACCACGCAGGTAGAACACACGCAGGTGAGACGCACATGTAGAACCACACAGGTGAGACACACAGGTAGAACCACGCAGGTAGAACCACGCAGGTAGAACCACACAGGTAGAACCACACAGGTGAGACACGCAGGTAGAACCACACAGGTAGACACAGGTAGAACCACACAGGTAGACAGGTAGAACCACACAGGTAGAACCACACAGGTAGAACCACACAAGTGAGACACACAGGTAGAACCACACAGGTAGAACTACACAGGTAGAACCACACAGGTGAGACACACAGTGAGACACACAGGTAGAACCACACAGGTAGAACACACAGGTGAGACACACAGTGAGACACACAGGTGAGACACAGTGAGACACAGTGAGACACACAGGTAGAACCACACAGCTAGAACCACACAGGTGAGACACACAGGTAGAACCACACAGGTGAGACACACAGGTAGAACCACGCAGGTAGAACCACACATGTAGAACCACACAGGTAGAACCACACAGGTAGAACCACATAGGTAGAACCACACAGGTAGAACCACGCAGGTAGAACACACTCAGGTGAGACGCGTGCGGATCTCACTCTCGGCACAGATGACTCCGGCGGCGAAGCGTGGGCCGGGCCGCGAGCAGTTAGCGGCGGCGGCGGCGACGGCGACGGTCGCCCCGTCCCCGGCCGCCGGTGAGCGGAGGCACTCGGAGAGAGACGTCTCAGTCCCCGAGCAGCGGATCCCCGTGACCACCGTCTCATCGGCCGCAGGGTCACCCTGCCAGTACCACGTTTCCTGTGGGTGGGGTGGGTGGGGTGGGGTGGGGTGGGTGGGGTGGGTGGGTGGGTGGGTGGTGGGGGGAAGGGGGCGGGGAAAGGCGGCGGAGCAAAAGCCCCAGATGGGTTACCGGTCCAGCCTCCGGACAGAGGAACGGCAGCCTTTTCTCCAAACACACACACACACGCACGCAGAATCCGTTCCACGTGAACGTCCTTTTTATACCGCTGAGGTCCAGGCAGCTACCGGTCCAGCTCCGGACAGAGGAACGGCAGCCTTGCCTCCAAACACACACGCACACGCACTCAGAATCCGGTCGACCGGAACGTCCTTTATATACCACTAAGGTCCAGGCAGCTACCGGCCCAGCTCCGGACAGAGGAACGGCAGCCTTGCCTCCAAACACACACACACACACGCGCCAAATCCAGCCGATGGGATCCGCCTTCATACCAAAGAGGTTCCGGGCAGGACTTGTTCCAGCTCCGTATATATATGAACGGCAGCCTGTCCCCTCCTCCAGCATTAAGCGACTGGACGTTCAACACGGTCAAATGACAGAGGTCCAGGCGGTACCGGTCCAGCTCCGGACAGAGGAACGGCAGCCTCTCCTCAAAACGCCCGCGTACCGAAATTTGATGCTCCTGCAGCGCCGTTAATGGGCGGCAAATATCCGCAATGTCGGACACTGCCCATCAGGGCATATAAACTGTATATAAGTAGGGCCTTTTGGAGAGCTTAGAGGCAGTTGCAGCTGAAGGCCGAAGGCTGAAGGCTGAAGGCAGCTAGACCAAGACCCTGGACGGACCAGTTCCCGTACCAGGGTCGGTCAGGATAAGCCTCCCCCTACGTCACGGATAGCCGGAGGGCGGGAAGCCAGCGGCGCGGCAGTGTTAAGCCACGATTGCCCGGAGGCTGTACCTTCCTAGCTGGGGGGGGCGGAAGAGAGTTATTATAACAAGTTAAATGAATACACTTCATCGTCTCCGTCAACCATGGAAGAACACACTACACTACACGGCACCGTCCAGCGTGCTCCGCACGGAACTAGTCCAGCTCCGGACAGAGCAAAAGGCAGCCTCTCATCCAAACACCCACACACACCGAATCCCCTCCACGGGAAGCCTTCAAACACCAAATCCGCTCCACGGGAAGCCTTCAAACACCAAATCCGCTCCACGGGAACCCTTCAAACACCAAATCCTGTCCACGGGAACCCTTCAAACACCAAATCCTGTCCACGGGAACCCTTCAAACACCAAATCCACTTCACGTGAACCCTTCAAACACCAAATCCTGTCCACGGTAACCCTTCAAACACCAAATCCCCTCCACAGGAACCCTTCAAACACCAAATCCGCTCCACGGGAACCCTTCAAACACCAAATCCGCTCCACGTGAACCCTTCAAACACCAAATCCGCTCCACGGGAACCCTTCAAACACCAAATCCGCTCCACGGGAACCCTTCAAACACCAAATCCGCTCCACGGGAACCCTTCAAACACCAAATCCGCTCCACGGAAACCCTTCAAACACCAAATCCGCTCCACGGGAACCCTTCAAACACCAAATCCGCTCTACAGGAACCCTTCAAACACCAAATCCGCTCCACGGAAACCCTTCAAACACCAAATCCGCTCCACGGGAACCCTTCAAACACCAAATCCGCTCCACGGTAACCCTTCAAACACCACACACACCAAATCCGCTCCACGGGAACCCTTCAAAACCACCAAATCCGCTCCACGGTAACCCTTCAAAACACCCACGCACACCAAATCCGCTCCACGTGAACACCACTAACACCAAATCCGCTCCACGGCAGCCCTTCAAACACCAAATCCGCTCCACGGGAACCCTTCAAACACCAAATCCGCTTCACGGCAACCCTTCAAACACCAAATCCGCTCAACCAGAACCCTTCAAACACCAAATCCGCTCCACGGGAACACCACAAACACCAAATCCGCTTTACGGGAACCCTTCAAACACCAAATCCGCTTCACGGCAACCCTTCAAACACCAAATCCGCTCAACCAGAACCCTTCAAACACCAAATCCGCTCCACGGGAACTCAACAAACACCTAAGCCGCTTTACGGGAACCCTTCAAACACCAAATCCGCTCCACGGGAACCCTTCAAAACCACCAAATCCGCTCCACGGGAACCCTTCAAAACCACCAAATCCGCTCCACGGGAACCCTTCAAAACCACCAAATCCGCTCCACAGGAACCCTTCAAAACCACCAAATCCGCTCCACGGGAACCCTTCAAACACCACGCACACCAAATCTGCTTTACCGGAACCCTTCAAAACCACCAAATCCGCTCCACGGTAACCCTCCCCACGGCGGCGACCCAGCTCCGGACTAGACGACGGGCAGCCTCCCGCCCCGCCCGTCCCCCTCTCCCCCTCCCCCTCCCCCTCCCTCCTCCCCCCTTCCCCCGCCCGACCCCCCGGCTCACCTTGAGGGCGTGCAGGGCGTACCCCAGGCCCAGCTCACGGCACACGACGGCCGCCTCCCGGTTGGTCCACCCATCGCTGCAGACGAAGCCCCAGCGCCCGCCCGGCCCGGCCGGCCCGCCCGGCCCGCCCGGCCCGGCCGGCCCGCCCGGCCCGGCCGCCCTCCGTGCATGCCCCGGCGGAGGCCTCACGAAGACCTCCACACGGCCCTCACGCAGGCCCGAGCCCCCGGCCAGGCGGAGCTGCAGTGGGATTGGACGGTGGCGGAGGGTGGTGGGTGGGTGGGTGGGTGGTGGGTGGGTGGGTGGGGAGGGTGGGTGGGTGGAGGGAGAGGTGTGGTGGTGGAGTTGGGGTAGGCACAGGGTGGGTTTAGACACAGGGAGGGTGGAGGGAGAGGTGAGGTGGTGGAGTTGGGGTAGGCACAGGGTGGGTTTAGACACAGGGGGTTAAACACAGGGTGTAGGCACGGGGGTTAGACACAGGGGTTAGACACAGGGGGTTAGACACAGGGGGTAGACACAGGGTGTGGTAGACACAGGGGGTAGACACAGGGCGTAGACACAGGGGTTAGACACAGGGGGTTAGACACAGGGGTTAGACACAGGGGGTTAGACACAGGGGGTTAGACACAGGGAGGGGTTAGACACAGGGGTTAGACACAGGGGTTAGACACAGGGGGTAGGCACAGGGGGTAGGCACAGGGGGGGTAGACACAGGGGTTAGACACAGGGAGGGGTTAGACACAGGGGGTAGACACAGGGGTTAGACACAGGGGGTAGACACAGGGGTTAGACACAGGGGGTAGACACAGGGGTTAGACACAGGGGGTAGACACAGGGGTTAGACACAGGGGGTAGACACAGGGGTTAGACACAGGGGGTAGACACAGGGGTTAGACACAGGGGGTAGACACAGGGGGTTAGACACAGGGAGGGGTTAGACACAGGGTGTGGTAGACACAGGGAGGGGTTAGACACAGGGTGTGGTAGACACAGGGGGTTAGACACAGGGGGTTAGACACAGGGAGGGGTTAGACACAGGGTGTGGTAGACACAGGGGGTTAGACACAGGGGGTTAGACACAGGGAGGGGTTAGACACAGGGGGTTAGACACAGGGGTGTGGTAGACACAGGGGGTTAGACACAGGGGTTAGACACAGGGGTTAGACACAGGGAGGGGTTAGACACAGGGGGTAGACACAGGGGGTAGACACAGGGGGTTAGACACAGGGAGGGGTTAGACACAGGGGGTAGACACAGGGGGTTAGACACAGGGGGTTAGACACAGGGGGTAGACACAGGGAGGGGTTAGACACAGGGGGTTAGACACAGGGGGTTAGACACAGGGGGTTAGACACAGGGTGTGGTAGACACAGGGAGGGGTTAGACACAGGGAGGGGTTAGACACAGGGGGTTAGACACAGGGGGTTAGACACAGGGAGGGGTTAGACACAGGGGGTTAGACACAGGGGGTTAGACACAGGGGGTAGACACAGGGAGGGGTTAGACACAGGGGGTTAGACACAGGGGGTTAGACACAGGGTGTGGTAGACACAGGGAGGGGTTAGACACAAGGGGTTAGACACAGGGGGTTAGACACAGGGAGGGGTTAGACACAAGGGGTTAGACACAGGGGGTTAGACACAGGGAGGGGTTAGACACAGGGAGGGGTTAGACACAGGGGGTTAGACACAGGGGGTTAGACAGAGGGGGTAGACACAGGGAGGGGTTAGACACAGGGGTTAGACACAGGGAGGGGTTAGACAGAGGGGGTAGACACAGGGAGGGGTTAGACACAGGGGGTAGACACAGGGGGTAGACACAGGGGGGTAGACACAGGGGGTTAGACACAGGGGGTTAGACACAGGGAAGGGGTTAGACACAGGGGGTAGACACAGGGAGGGGTTAGACACAGGGGTTAGACACAGGGGGTTAGATACAGGGAGAGGTTAGACACAGGGGGTTAGACACAGGGGGTTAGACACAGGGAGAGGTTAGACACAGGGGGGTTAGACACAGGGGGTAGGCACAGGGGTAGGCACAGGGGGTTAGACACAGGAGGGTTAGACACAGGGGGTAGACACAGGGGTTAGACACAGGGGGTAGGCACAGGGGTTAGACACAGGGGGTTAGACACAGGGGTTAGACACAGGGAGGGGTTAGACACAGGGGGTAGACACAGGGAGGGGTTAGACACAGGGGGTAGACACAGGGGGTAGACACAGGGGTTAGAGACAGGGGGTTAGACACAGGGGTTAGACACAGGGGGTAGACACAGGGGGTAGACACAGGGAGGAGTTAGACACAGGGGGTTAGACACAGGGGGTTAGACACAGGGAGGGGTTAGACACAGGGGGTAGACACAGGGGGTAGACACAGGGAGGGGTTAGACACAGGGGGTAGACACAGGGGGTAGACACAGGGGTTAGACACAGGGGGTTAGACACAGGGGTTAGACACAGGGGTTAGACACAGGGGGTAGATACAGGGAGGGGTTAGACACAGGGGGTTAGACACAAGGGGTTAGACACAGGGGGTTAGACACAGGGGTTAGACACAGGGAGGGGTTAGACACAGGGGGTAGGCACAGGGGGTAGACACAGGGGGTAGACACAGGGAGGGGTTAGACACCGGGGGTTAGACACAGGGGGTTAGACACAGGGGGTAGACACAGGGGTTAGACACAGGGGTTAGACACAGGGGTTAGACACAGGGGGTAGACGCAGGGGGTAACACAGGGGGTTAGACACAGGGGGTTAGACACAGGGGGTTAGACACAGGGAGGGTTAGACACAGGGGGT